CCCCCCCCCTCCCCCCCCCTCCAGGTTCATTAAAGAGCGTTGAAGATTTCTTTATTCTTCAACAGTTATGGGACCTTCTTCTAACAATTCCAGTTGCCTTTCAGTCTCCGGATTTAATACTTTAAGCTGCTGACCTGAATCAAGTATATCAGGAAAGTCAGTAAAAAAACTGAAGTCCTTATCTGCACATTTTACAGGGATTCAAAGTCTTTAAGCAAGAGGGTGATCATGACAACCAGGCAACAAGCATTTTTAGATGTTGAGGCTAGCAGTGGTAGCCTTCATGCTTCCCTCATGTTTCCTTTAATCATGGACAATGATCTCCTACATTACACAATTAATAAAAGCTATTCTATAAATAAATGCTTGCAATATATATTTAAAAAAAAAAAGATCAGTGTAAAGGTGCCCATACACTTTACAACCATCGCAAGACCTTCCGATGACCGCAATGCTGAACGGGCAGTGTGCGTGTGCGCACACCGGCCCGTTCAGCATTTGTCTCCCGAGCACCGTTCTAACCAGCCGAAAATCGTACGATTTTCGGCTTGTTTTCTAGCGTGCTCCTTAGACAAAAGACGTGCGACCGTACAGTAGAAACGGTCGCACGTCTTTGTTCACACTGCTCGATTCTCGTACGATCGCGGGATTTCCCGCGATTCTCGTACGAGAATCGAGCAGTGTATGGGCACCTTATGGCTGCTCCAAAGTCTCATCCTTTACAGTAAATGCTTATGTGTCTGTGTGCATTCCTAATGCACTTGTTCAAGCAAGAGAATCTCCAATACTCACATTCTGCCTCCTTATGCTGCCACGTGGCTTGGGAACAGGTTTTGATGGTCGAGAGACAAGAGCTTCAGGAAGACGGGATTTCTGTGCCTGAATGGCCAACTGATAAGCAACTTCAAAAGCCTGGCCCAACGTAAGAATTATTTCAAAGGCCTGGTTCTGTATTAAAACAAAGAGAATACATTTGGCTCCCGATGTCAGCAAAAAAAAAAAAGAAGATCGCAGGGAAAGGTTTAATCTGCTCGATTGAGCAGATTAAACCTTTCCGGTAAAAAGTGTTTCTCTCCCGGCCGGGATGTGTACTCACCGGCCCAAGCAGCTTCATCGGGTAACGAAGGGAAGGGGGAGGAGTGCATTGACGTCACGGATATCAACGTCACCGGACTCCTCCCCCTTCCATTCATTAGCCGACAGCGACTTGGGGAAGGAGTCCGGTGACGTCGATGTCCGTGACGTCACCGGATCTCCGACGGAAGACCTGGAAGCCGGCGGAGAGGTGAGTACGGATCAAAAGAACTTTGATCGATCAAAATAATTACCGATTAAATCGAGGGATTAATAGTTAACTTCCGCAGCCCTAATTTAAATCATTATTACAATGGAAATAGTAGTTATTGCTATTATTTTCCTAACCTAAGACATCCTTTATAAAATACAACAGGAATGTATACAGGTAGACCATGCACGGGGGTTATCCAGTTGAGAAAGCGTGTTTGCTACATGTGAAACTGTTTTAAGACCGAACAGTTTTTAAATGTTTTTTTACTTTTGCTGCTTTTAACAGAGTTTTTTAACCCCTTACCAGCAGTGGGGTCAATCCGTTCCATCACATTTTATATCGTCTGCAATCACTATACAATTCTAATGCAATTATTTATTAACAGTATACATTGTATTCTAGGTACATCTATTTGACATCTTTAATATATATCTCATTCAGCCCCGGTGGTCTCCTCTACTTTTGCAGGATTAAAGCATTATTACAAAGCTGGCCATACATTGACCATCCGACTGCACGACGCAGCAGCTTCAGGATTACTATGCGAAAATACAGTAAGTAAATACTCAACTGTCTCCTTTGCTGGGTAGATAAGTGACCCGTCGCTAACAAGTGAAATTCTGCAGCATTTCTGTTAGCAACGGACAACAGCTTGCTCATCCAGAGAGCAAGGAGTAATGCCTGCAACCAGGAGAGTATGTACTCTTCACGGAGCTAAATTAGAAAACGCCGTCAGTGCTTCTGCTGTCAACATTAAGGACAAATTTCTCCACAGTATCTGCAGCTCCAGAGGTGAGTGAGGGATTGCTTTAAAGCTCATGTACTGTTAGGAATATGCAAACACTTCAATGTATATAGCCTTAACACAAACTCACTTTAAAAAATTACATCTAAATTCTTTATGAATCTATGCCACAGTTATTTTTTAATTGAAACTGTTGTAATGACACAGATGTATGTATATATGGCTCACCACATCAGCAGTGCTGAACACATGACAGTAATGGTGGCTGGTCTGCAGGTCCTTTGTGATATAGGCAAAGGTGCATAAGTCTTCAGGATCCTGAGCTGCACAGGATATGTTTCGGATTTCATGTTCTGCTATTACATTCTGAAAGAGTAAGATTTAAAAGAAAAAAATAAGGGAAAAGAATATAGTGAAGAGTTTTAAATGTTAGGCGATTTAATAATGCACACATAACAAAAACATTTTGTAGACAATAATGCTGGAATAATGCTTGTTTAATCAATAATGAGAATAGTTGTCAACTATTCTCATTATCGATTAGTTAGTTGGATTCCTTAGCTCTCTCCTCCACACTGGGAGACTGTGTTTTATCGGCTCTGTGTCTCCTCTGATCGGAGGGCACAGGACTGTAGCGCCCGCCCACTACCTGCTGTATTTACATCCAGCTGCTGTCTGCAGAATCTTGCCACTGGCAGCTGTCATTCCCTGGCTGAAGCTATTCAAGCTCCATGTGCTTACAATACAATTATTAATTTCAATTGCACCCCAAATGCACCTTATGTTTGTAACACTCCATCTGTGTATTTTATTTTAAATTAAGGATGATATTTCATTTTTTTATCCGATTGATTAATCGAAAGAATAAAATCGGCCAACTAACCGATTATAAAAAATAATCATTAGTTGCAGCTCTAATAGACAACAGTGTCTTACAATACATTTTGTTTTTCTTTTGAAACACATAAACCAAACTACTTTACAGTTTGGCATAAAATGATTTAATAGCAAGACCCTAAAAGGTCTACTTAAGAGTTTCTCACTCAAGTTACATATATAAACTAGAAGATGCACATAAAGTGGAAGGAAATATTTTTTTCGTAGCATGAACAAGGGGATGAAATGAATATTGCCTATACGAACTCCTGCTCTAAAATAAATATTTTAAAATTAGAAACTGTACATTCTACCAATTAAAGAAATATTTCCTTTTCCTAGTCTCGTAAAATCCCTTTCTTGGAGTCCACTGAGGGACACAGCTTTGAAGAATACCGAGACCTAGGGGTATGCTGCAAAAAATTAAAAGCCTGTCACTTTAAGGACATACCCCTCCTACCTCAGACCTACCTGCCAGTTGTAGAAAGCAGCATATAAGGAAAAAAAAGGGAGGAAACAATGTCCCTCAATCGACTCCGGGAAAAGCATTTCACAATAACAAAATCCTATTTTCTCTATCATCCATTTAGGGACACAGCTCTGAAGATCTCTGCAAAGTAGGGAATTTCAAAAGCAATCCAAAACAGAGGAGCAAGCACCACAAAAAAACAAGAAGAACCAGCCCAAAAACTCAAACAGCTGCCTGAAGAACTTTTCTGACAAAACTAGCATCAGAAGAGGCAGAAACGTCAACTTTATAAAACTTTGCAATTGTGAACAGAAGACCAAGTTGCGCCTTGCAATTTGAGTAACAGAAGCTTGATTCTGAAACGCACAAGAAGTACTTACTGGCCTAGTAGAATGAGCAGAAACAGGAAAAGGAGGAACATTATTCCGTGACTCATAAGCTTGGATGACAACCTGACGAATCCACTTAGAAATAGCGGATCTAGAAGCTGAACAAGCTTTTCTAGGACCTTCAGGTCGAACAAATGAAGTCAGAATGCCTAAAGGGAGCTGTGGCTGACAGATAAACTAACATCCAAACAATGAAAATAACTTTTCTAAACAGGAGCTGGACAAAGTGAAAGTAAAACAATATCTTCATTTAAATGAAAGGCTGAAATCACCTTGGGTAAAAAGGAAAGCTGCAGTCTTCAAACAACCTTGTCCTTATAAAAAAACATTAGTTGGAAACCCTTCTAGCCAAGGTAATGGATGCAAGAAAGGCAACTTTTTTAAATAGCAGACAAAAAAGTGACTGGGATAGGCTCAAAATGAGTTTTTTTTAGAACAGATAAAACCAAGTTTAAATCCAAGGGAGGAAGACGAAATATAACAGGAGCAGCCACACGTGGAACTCCCTGTATAAAAGTACGAATCAAGGCTAAATGTTGATCTGCCCCAAGTTTGAAGGAAAGACAATAAAATCTCTGGGGAAAACCCAAGGACTTACACCAACGAAAACAAACCTTCCATGTACGAGCCTTAAGCATAGTCGGAATAAAAGAATCTGAAATTACGTTGTTTTTCAAAACTTGGGTAAAACAGCAAGGCCATTAAAGCCAGTGACCAAGAATCAGGGTGGAAAATTGACCCCTAAGATAACAGATCTGGCTGATCTGGAAGATGCCAGGGGTTGTCTGAACCAAATCGACATACCACACCCTGCGATCCCAATGAGAATGACTGGAACTCCTTTGTGTTCTATCCTGCGAAGCAGTCGAGGCAATAGTGTCCGTGGAGGAAAGATATACATTAGTGTACTGATCCCACGGAGCTACTAAGGCATCCACCGTATCCGCCATGGAAATCCTTGCTCTGGAAGCAAATCTGTCAACCTTCTTCTTGTGACAAGCAGCCAAAAGATCCACATCCAACGTTACCTAGCGGTGACAAAGTTCTTGAAACACCTCTGGATGGAGAGACTATTCCCCTGCCGGTTCTCAAAATACCTGAACAATCTGATTGGATGCAGGCATTGTTCAGGTATTTCGAGAGCCAGCAGGGCAGACTAGCAAGATACTGAAGCTTGGTCCAGTGGGAGATTCCTCCATCCACACAGTTTAGCGTAGATGGAGGAATCTGTATGGCCAGCTTTAGTCTCAGAATTCTTAGGAGCGGTATCCCTCAATGGACGATAGAGAAAACAGTGTCTATGCCCACTTCAACTACATAATGGTGACTGAAAACACAGATTAGAAGCAAACCTTGAAAGCTCGCACTGTATCAGGGCTCTGCAGTATTTTCCTGCTTCAGATCTACCAACGTTAAAGGAGAACTATGAGGTGAGTGATTTTCACTCACCTCATACGTCTAGCCGACCTGTGACAATGAGACTGTCACAGGTCGGCTAGAACTATGAGGTGAGTGATTTTCACTCACCTCATACGTCTAGCCGACCTGTGACAATGAGACTGTCACAGGTCGGCTAGAACTATGAGGTGAGTGATTTTCACTCACCTCATACGTCTAGCCGACCTGTGACAATGAGACTGTCACAGGTCGGCTAGAACTATGAGGTGAGTGATTTTCACTCACCTCATACGTCTAGCCGACCTGTGACAATGAGACTGTCACAGGTCGGCTAGAACTATGAGGTGAGTGATTTTCACTCACCTCATACGTCTAGCCGACCTGTGACAATGAGACTGTCACAGGTCGGCTAGACGTATGAGGTGAGTGAAAATCACTCACCTCATAGTTCTCCTTTAACCACTTCAAGACCAGGTGTTTAGCCCCCCTTCCTGGCCAGGCCATTTTTCAGTATTCAGCGCTGCGGTACTTTGACTGACGTTTATTCCGTCATGCAACGCTGTACTGAAATGAATTTTACACCATTTTTTGGGGACAGATAGAGCTTTATTTTGGTGGTATTTAATCACCACTGGGGGTTTTATTTTTTATTATAATTAGGAAAAATTACTTAAAAATTGTGGAAAAAAAAAACGTTTTTTTTAACATTGTTAGGAGACATTTATTATTACCCAGTTTTTTGGTCAAATATAAAAGATCGGGTCACGTCTGTTAAATAGACACCAAACATGTCAAGCTTTAAAATTGCGCGCACCCGCGACATCGCAGAAAACGACCGCAACCAAAATTAGCCATAGGCGACGCTTTAAACGTTTTTACCGCTCATCAGTTTAGTGTTATCAGTGATTGATGGCCCTAGACTTATTGCTCTCACTGCGACGTTTTCGGCGATATGTAACATGTGCGGCGTAATGGGCGCAATCGTCTTTTTTGCACGTATGCGCCCCCGACGCATGTATGCATGCGTGTATGTATGGGTGGGGACTTAAAATTTTTATTTTTTATTCTTTTTAATGTGTTACTTTTTTTTGGGGGGGGGGTGACTTTAATTTTCTTTCTCGCTCAGATCTAGAGAGCTCCTGGCCGGCCGTTTTTTTACTACAGCCGGCCCGGAGGCAGTTAAGGAGGAACGGCCACACAAAGCAATAATAATTTTAAGTTTCTCTAAATAGGTCTCAGCAGTTAAAAAGGCACAAAAATCTAAAATTAAGCCTATTGCAGTAAGGGTTGTTGTGTCTTATAGTTATGCTACATGGGCATTTAAATACAAATGTTGTTTAGTGTTAAGAGTTCTCCCAAAATTGTAACATTGTGAGTCGATTAAATGTGGTGCAATTAAAAGAGATATTCAATATTGATATTACCACAAGGCCACAAATAAATAACGAAGAGACACTCTACCTATGCAAACAGCATGGTTAAAAGACTGACTTTACCATACACTTGTGGAAAAATAAAACAACTGGTTTTAGTGTTTTATAGAGAGGAGTCGATCACAATTCAAAAACGTAAAAATAACCTGATTTGATGCATCAATAAACTTGACTCCCTTGTAGCTGATGGAAAGAGTGATTCTTGGAATTTTTTTCATCTGTTCCGTTGACTTCTACAGACAAATATGACAGATATGTTACCCTCAATAAATATTATGTCTTTAAGATATATCCATTTAATCTAACTCACTTTTAAGAAACTGATGAAGAAAATACCCTTATACACTGTAAAAAAAATAAGTCAGAACCTGAATTGAGAAAGCTGGTTGGATGTCCAGTGAAACATCTTAAAGACAAATACAGCAAGTTCAGTTACCTTGACTTATTTTTTTTACAGATATACCATGACCTGGATGAATGAGAACCTTCACAGACACATGCAGTAATGTGCAATAACCTGCAAGTGTAATAGCAATGCAAGTCTTTAAATATAAAATTCACCTTTTTAAAAAAGATGCACACATTCGCATTTATAATTTTTTTTCATTGCAGCCAGTCCGTGTGATCAGTGGAGAGCGAGTGCAATGCTCTGGCTTCTGCAGATTCTCCCTCCCGCCCCTTTCTGTACCAAGGTATGGACATTCAGTAAACGACGGGAGGGAGAATGAATGGACTACTGCAATTATAGTCCATTGAGAACAAGTCCCTCCAAGAAGGATCTGTGAATAAATGACACAGCTCTGTGGGCAGAACTATGCACAGCAGCACAATTCTAATAAAATATCAACATCAACCTGTGGGGAGAAGAACCCCGCAATTCAGGTAAGTGATGTGCCCATGTTTTATTTATACCCTGAATACGGGTGTAACATAAAACACAGCCTAAAACATGAACTTAGACTTTGAATGCACATAAAACGCAATAACTTACCCTCATTTTGGCACAGGCATCTTGGGTGGACTCTGTCCCTCTTAAATCTTTGATCTGCATTGATCCTAAATACTGAAACACAAACAGGTAATGCTATGAAACCATTGTACAGGGAAGCACATATACAATCTGTAGATTTTGCAGTAAATATTCAGTCTATATTAAACAAACAGGCAATATTTTTAACCTAATATTTCACACCTTAATGAAAATACTCACACTGGCTTCATAACCACAGCACTCAAAAATTAGCTTTTCTGGTTGGTGCTGCCAATTTTGTAGAGGTGCATATGAGGTGGCCGAACTTGGGGGTCTTAATGTTAGCTTAGATTCTTCCTATTGAAAAAATAACAATGACAGCAAAATTAAAACCTAACAAATCCAGAGGATATATTAAAAGTAAACCTGAAGGTATTAAAAGGACACCATAGTTCAAACTTTAAAAAAAAAAAAAGTTTCCAAGTGAGGCCATTTCACTGCAGAGACGTCCTCTTAAACACCTTTAATTTTGTTAAAAAGAAAAATTGTTGCCCTTCGCAGACCTCTCAAGAGCTCATAGGAAACTGACGACGCATATTCTCACGGCAGCCCGCTGTCTCATAACGCTACAATGGAAATGAAAGCTTCCCCCATCGAAACTAGATCTTTTTGCCAGAATCAAAGATGTACAAGTTATGGAATACCTGACAGCACGGCTAAATAATACATGAGAAGCTCAAAAAGTGGTATGGAGACCGTGGGATGTCACGAACTGAGAGGCGGAGGAGGAGTAGACAAGGGGGGAGCGTGAGGGAAGACAGGTCCCGGAGTTGGAATCAGAGGGACAGGGGTACAAGAGGAACACTGGTATAGGTTGCTCACGCTGTTCATATAGAACGCTATTCTGGAAGAAGACCACACACACACACTTTCTTTTCTTATCACTATATCTTTATGATGTTTTAAGGTTGTTAGTTTAATTGCAGATACATCAATGTAAGAAGGTATTTGTTGGATATTGCTCTTAAATAGATAAGCTAATCCAGAACAGAATATTATGAGCCATAAGAAGATGTAATCACGACTCTCAGAGAGGTTGGTAGGAAATATAAGAAAAACCTGTTGTTATCTATAAGATATAGAGAGACAAACCTACAATAGTATATAAAACAATGTCTGGGTTGTGATTTCTGGTAAAACGCTTCATGTTTTGTTTTTTTGATACCTCAAATGATGTCATAAGTTTTGTAACTCATATATGCGATTTTCAAAATAAAAATTGTCAATTTAAAAAAAAAAAAAAAAAAAGGAAGAAGAAAAATGGGATTTTGTTCTCACCATTAAATCCTTTTCTTGAAGTACATTGAGGGACAGAGGAATTTATGTACTGTTAGGCTATACTGCCACCTACAAGAGGATTGGACACTAAACAAAAAAAATTGCACGCCAGCCGAGGATAACCCCCCTACCACCAGCATGCCTGAATTTTGTGGCAAAGCAATGTTAAGAGCATGATCATATACTAAAGGGGTAGGACCAGTGTGCAATGAACTCCAAGAAAAGAAATTTTGCATTGAGCACAAAAATTCTATTTTCTTTCTCATCCATTGAGGGCATGCAAACTGTTGCGACATCCAAATGCATTCCAACTTGAGGTGGGCAGCAACAACATGACCTTATGCCCGAAGTTGGCATCAGATGAGGCCTTAACATTCACCTTGTAAAACTTGGAGAAAGCGCGAACACAAGACCAGGAGACAGCCTTGCAAAATCTGAGAAACAGTAAATCGGATGCTAAAAAGCCCTAGAAGAAATTACAGATCTAGCAGGGTGTGCATGGAAAGGAAAAGGTGGCACCCGGTCCTTAAGACCATAAGCTTGAATGGCGGTCTGTTTGAGCAACTGTGAAATGGTGGAACAAGAAGCTGGTTCACCCTTGCAGAAACCATAAGGATAAGGAGTAACAAAGAGAGAGTCAAGTTTTTTTGAAGGAAGCAGTGGCTCCTTCTGGTGCACTGAATCTGGACAGAGGGATGAAAGAACGATGTCCTGGTTGAGATGATAGGCTGAAGTGAAAGGCTGAAACTACCTTAGGAAATAAATTAACTTATTGCATAAGGCTAAAAAGGGTTCTTTACAGTATTAGGCCCCATTCACACTGAGCGACATGGAAATCGCGCGACTTTGAGCGACGAGCGATATTGAGCGACGAGCGATATTGAGCGACGGGCGATATTGAGCGACGGGCGATATTGAGCGATGGGCGATATTGAGCGATGGGCGATATTGAGCGACGAGCGATATTGAGCGACGAGCGATATTGAGCGACGAACGATATTGAGCGACGAGCGATATTGAGCGACGTATCGCGAGACTTCTTCCTATTGGGCTGTATGCAATCAGGAGCAATATCGCTCAAAATCGCTCTAAAAAAGGGTCATGTAGGAGCGACAAGCTACCAGCGACGAGCTACAAGCGATATTGAGCGACATTGAGCGACGAGATGTGAACAGCTCCATTGAAATGTATTGGTGAAGCTACATAGAGCGATATCGCGCGGAAATATGAGCGATATCGCCGCAACAAATCGCTCAATGTGAACGGGGCCTAAGGCTTCAAGCTTAGACACTCGCCCCACAGAGGTGATAGCAACAATTAAAACAACCATGCGAGTTAAGAGAAATATACCCGATAGGTTTAAACGCTGCTTTTTGAAATATCGATAATCAAATTCCCATCACATGGCATAAAAGAATAGTGGAAGCCACATTGGAAAAACCCTGCAAAAAAGGTCTTGATCAAAGAATGGGAAGCCAGCAAGTCTGTGAACCAAGAGCGTAAGCACAGAGACCTGACCCTTTATGGTGTCAAAGACCAAAGGGCTGGTCCAGACCCATCTTTAAAAAGGCAAGGATTCATCCCACAAAGAACTTCCTGCTGTAAAAGCCTCTCAACTCGCAACAAAGAATGCTTCCCATGTGACACTTTGAGAAGTAGACTTTAGCATTGTGGGAATAAATTATGTCTCTGTCCCTTAAGAGATAAGCTGTTAAAGCCAGCAACCACAAAATATAGTGTTAAATTTGTTCTTAAGACAGAAGATTTGAATAATCTGGAAGAGCCCAAAGAACATCTCAGAGGAATCTTATCAGGTTGGTCTACTACACCCCCTAAACCAGTCCAGAGTTATGAGGATTACTGGAAAGCCCTCCATCTTGATCCTGCAAAGCAGAAAAGGGAGGATGGAGTCGGGCGACTTCTGAGCTTAAGAGCCCAAATCCGGGGGCAGAGGTTGAAGTTTCTTCTGGGGAAAAACAGCTTGGTCTAAAACTAGACCAAGATATTCCAAGCAATGAGTAGGCGTCAGTGCAGACTTCTGAAGGTTCAGAGTCACAAACTGGAGATGCAGAGGACACAGGTAAGAGTGAGAATTGCTAATGCACTGAAAAAATTGGGACATGAAGGAACACGTTCTTAGATGTTCACGGAAGCCGGAAAGTGTTCCTGATGAAGGAAAGCAATGACAGACCTAGTGGATTTCAAGAGGAATTTCTGGTCCTGAATAAAAATATTTCAGGTCTTGGGATCCAAGATGGGGGAATGCCCCCTTTTGTTGGGGGACTGTGAAAAGGTTGGAGTAAAATCCCTAAAACCATTCTGCCACAAGGACCGGGACAAAGACATCCAAAAGACCCAATAGGGTTGCAAGGAACTCTGCTAATCTGTGTGGTGACACATACAGGTTGAAAGATGAACCGGAGGGGGGCTGGGAGCAAACATTTAGCTCGTAGCTCCTGGAACCCACATCTGAGATGCAGGCTGTCCAAGTGTCCAATAGACAACTCCGCACTTTGAACAGTGGGAATGCACACTTAAAGGAAATGTCTAATCTGAGGGATTTGAGGGACGTAAAAGCCCAAGGTTTACAGGCTGACTGGATACCAGACTTGGGTTTGGACTTGAAGTTTAAAGTTGTGGAGTAACAAAAAAATACTTTGTTTGGCCTCTGCTGAGGAGCGAGACTTCTCCGACTGAGCCCTAGACCTCCTTTTCTGAGTAAGAGGAGTACTCTGCCAGCAGTGGCATCCTTTGTGAGAACATCCAGGGCAGCGCTGAAGAGGTGTTGTCCCTCAAGGGATAAGCACTATTATTTATTTTGCATGTTCTGCAGTTCAATACTTTAGCTAAAGATTTTTCTTCATGTTCACTGACTGGAGACTCATATAAAGAAATTAGTCCAGAGACCTCCAACTACCTGTCCAGGCCAGTAAATATTTCAATATAATAAACAATTCAAACCTCTTTTGTAGATGCCAGTACTTTGTGGCGCTCCCTGCTTTCTTGACCTTCTATCCTACTTCTTCCGGAATCCTGCCCAGCATCCTGCTCTCCTACTGGAATGGATGGCATAGACCGAGGGAGGATATCATGACACTAAAATAATAAAAATAGAGGGGAATTTATCAAAACTGGAGGAGACAAAAACTGGAGGAGACAAAAACTGGAGCAGACAAAAACTGGAGCAAACAAAAACTGGAGCAAACAAAAACTGGAGCAAACAAAAACTGGAGCAAACAAAAACTGGAGCAAACAAAAACTGGAGCAGATGTCCATGGCACCCAATCAGCTTCTGTCTTTCATTTTAAAATCTTAACTGAACAAACTGATGCTGATTGGTTGCTATGCACAGCTGATCCAGATTTTGGCTGCTCCAGTTTTGATAAATTCCCCTGATGATATTTAAGCTGCGAACAGATTTAAAAACATGTACACATGACTTACCTGTGGTGGAGCAATAACAGACATTTGCAAGCGATTATTATGTCAGAATATTTATACAAAAAAGAAAAATGAATAGCTAATGCAGAATGTGTTAATTAAACAAAGTTGCACAACAGAACATTTTAATCCAGGCAACATAAAACCCTTGCATATTAAATAATGCTGCATGACTGCCTATGTAAAGCCACTAAGATGTCACCTGGCATTCAAACTATTGGGACAGAGATTACATTCTACCGGCAGCCATAACTAGCTGCCAGAACCAGGCAACAGCGATCTAGGGCTCCTAGAGGTCCCTTCAGGTCCCTCCTCTGCTGATTGACAGCAGGTAGTGGGAGGGTGCAATAGCTAGCCTGCTATTGGCAATTTGAAATATCCAATAGCAGGTTAGATATTGCTCCCAGCAATAAAGTTAAAAAAGAATTAAAAAAATAAAAGTTAAATCAACTAAAATAAAAAATGTGTGTTATTTTAAATAAAAAGGTTGGTTATTTTATTATACTGGCTTAGAGGTTTACAATTCACATTTTTTTTTAATCCATTAAACTAAATTAAAATGTCTAATATAATACAATAACAAAACAATAGATAGATAGATAGATAGATAGATAGATAGATAGATAGATAGATAGATAGATAGATAGAGATAGGTGGGAAAAGTCCTTTTTAGTTTCGACCTGACAAATTTTGCTGCAGGAGGTCCGTTGCGGTGCCATTCATTTTAATGGATCCCAAATGCACCTCTCGTCAGCAGTGTGATCGTCCACACTGGAACGTATGGTACTACAATACGCATGGTTAGCTGCAGCCCTACAGTGATTCTGTACCTGGATTTCTCAACACAGATCCATAAACTTCCATCTCAATTCCAACAAGCCAAACAAAGGTTGGGGGCTCTTGATATACTGTATGCTAGAATCTTCCTGCACAACTTAAGGTAATATACAAAAGGGGAAACACACTTCTTTGCTACTCCAGACAGCACCTTGGCCTTGACAGATTCCCTGCCCAACCCTAAACCTTCCTCCCATAGGAAACCAACTACTTGATCTGCATAAAAGATCTTTCTTATTCTTATAAAGCACCTTTCCAATCTGTACATCAGAAACACCGGTCATTCTACACCTGTACAGAAGACTAATGTGACATTCTCTGTGTAAACCGCTTGCATAACTTTGGAACATATTATTCATTGACCGTTTCTGTATAGGGACTGGGCTAACTCAGTTGGAGTTAAATTGGGCAGGGGAGTTCTCTCTTTGTTATGCTTATTACCATTTGCCTCTCTTTTAGGTAATGTGTTCTATGGCTGTTTGTGTGTATGTTCTGCTCTCTCTCTCTTTTATCTCCTTTGCCATCCAGTGAGTGGTGTGGCAGTGGTGGGTTGGGATAAGGAGAAACAGGACAGGACAGGATGGAATGGGACACACCCCATCCCCTGGTGGCACCTCCTTATTACCCCTTATTTACATTAATGTCTGAAGTAACCAATGTTCCTTGGAATATCAGAGGCCTAAATTATAAATACAAAAGTGCTAGCATGGCTGAGTTTCTTATAGGGATGCACCGATACCATTTTTTCAAGACAGTATGAGTACCGATACTTCTCCTCAAGTACTCGCCGATACCAATACCTTTGTTTTTGTGTGTGTCATGTGACAGTTCTTCTAAAACAATACAGACTAATGATTTTAGATCAGTGATGGAGCGCCAGTGCCCAGTCACAGTTGCAACCCTGGTAGTTCTGCTACTGGCTCCAAGCTGTAGAGGGACTACAAATTCCAGCAATACATTAAACAACAATACAGAATACCATCAGCTATAGAGGACTACAAAACCCAGCAATACATTATACAGCAATGCAGAACAATATGAAGCTACATACTCTGTGTTGCTGACTAGGGCTGCATGCGGAGTCTCAACAGGACTGCGTGCGGGATCTGAAAAGGACTGAGCAGGCGAATGCAGGTGGCGGGAAGGAGATTGCGGCAGTAAAGGCGCCGTAAACAGCCGTTGCGAGGTACCCAGCAAGTGTGGAACCTTACGCCAGCCACTTGTGTTTATAAATTTAAAGCGCCGGTAACAGGGCATTTTCATGAATACAATGAATATGCCCAGTATCGGCACTGATACTGGTATCGGTGCATCCCTAGTTCCTTAATGTCAACAAACCCAAAATATTGTATACAGAAAACATATCTTATGGACCCAAAGATATTAACACTAAAAAAGGCATTGAGTTGCTTAGGGGGTTTCACTCCATCTACCCTAATTGCGCTGGATGGGTCTCTGTATTAGTACACAAGAGGTTCACTTTTGACAGCTTACATACTGCTTCTGACTACTGGTGCCAGTATGACATTATTCATTTGAAAATATACAATGCCCCACTTATCCTTGCGATTATTCCTTTGCGATCCTCTTCGCCTACCTGTCTCAGCTACACTAGTCATGTAGGAGTTTGTAATGCTCGTATGCAGACCAGCGCCTCAGAGGAAGTCAATAGTGACGAAATGCATCAGGTGGGCGGATCTATGCGAGCATTACAATCAGAGATAGGAGCTCCAGTGGACACAATCCATACGCAATTGCCTTATTTTAATTGTAAGTGCATTTTAATCGTTTTAAATAAATTTATTCTGACATACTACACTATGGGAAGCCTTTTTTTCCTCTCTCTGAGCACAAGAGAAGGTGGAAGATGGAGGAATAGTTTTACACGATTTTGGAAAGATAAGCCATAGTTGGGAGGAATCTACCCCAATTTATTGTCGGATTAAAAACAAAGGAGAGGATTTGGTTCTATATATCAACAAAGCGCTAATTGTTCATCTGAAATATGGTGAGCAATAGGAGTGGGTGAGTGCGGCCAGATCTTATCTTTGAGCACGGTGGAGACTGGAGAGCACTGATTCACTAATTGTTTTTGCATTCACGGACATTGGTGTTGATTATAAAAGCAGGAAGATATATCTTCACATACAAGGACTTTATTGCATCCAGAAGTAATGGACTTAACACATGGTTATGCAGATTAGGTGGGAGTTATACATCACTTGTGAGATTCAACACAGGATTTTCTATATGTACACATTTTATGAGATGTACTAGCACGTTTGTTTTTTTCTATCATTAGCACAGGCATTGTGCAACACAGGTGTTGTGTATGACACAAAATTGTGTATCCCTTTGTGACAATTCCACAGTTTATACTATTTTTTTCACATTTTAGGAATATAATTTTTGAGTTTGAAGCGCAGTGCTATTTTCTTTTTTCCTTTACACTAGTCATGTAGTTTAGGTCTAAAATTATTGCATCTCCCAGAATGTACTACCCTTTTTTCGGAGACTCAACTCACCATTAGAGCCCTACTTAGGCAGATTAGACCTCTGTAGTCAGAATCTAAATATTGCGCTAATTTGTGTATGGCTTATGGATATGTTGATGTATGGCATCGGAAATTTCCAACTACTAGCAAATATTCATGCAAATCCAAAACCTATAAGGCCTTTTCTAGGCTTCACTATGCACTTGCCACTGCTTATCATGGATACTACATCTCTAGTATCTGTCCAAATCCCTGAGTGACCATTGCCCACTTAAATTGTCTGTTACTGGGTCACAAACTATCCTTCCGCACCTGGAGACTGAGTCTTTTAATGGATCTACAATGAAAAGGTAGATGAACGAATCCAAAGAACATGAAAAAACATAGTAAACATAACTTATACTCTAAAACCTTTAATGCTCATGGGATGCATTTAAGGCGGTCAACTAGGGGATCTCTCATCAGAAACATTGGCACATATAGAATTTCCTCCCACACTGAAAGGTCAGCATCAGAGATGCCTGCAAGACTTACAGATAATGACCCTCCCTCCCACAATCATGAAACTTTGCTTTGGCACTTCCTTCTTTAAATGGGTCAGCTTTTTTTTTTATTATTATAAAAGGAGCTAGGGTGAGGGTCCAGATTAACACTAATATATTTTTCCATACAGAGGGGCACCTGCCAGGGTGGCCCCTTTCACTTATGCTGTTTTCTATACCCAGTGAACCCTTGGCCACTTCCATTAGACAGTATTCATACATTGGCAGTGTCCAATGGGGCTGCTTGGAGCAGAGCATTTCAATGTATGCAGATAATGCTTTGGTGTACATTGATGGTTCACAGAGCTTTTTACATTGTTGAATGTTGTAGAAGACTTTGGGAGAGTCTCAGGTATGAAGGTGGGGTTGGAAAGAATTTACAATAGACCCAACACAACCCTATGATTACCTAGCTCGATTGTAAATTGCAGATCACCAAGTGATTTAGGTACTGGGGGATTTCATGTACCTAACTACCCAACTAAAGACAAATGTCTCAATATACGTCCCGTTCCGATTTACATGGAATCCCATTCTGAAACATGAAATCCAAATGACAAATTTGGAATTCCTTGCCTAAAACCTTATTGGTTAAATAAACCTATTTAAAATGATATTCCTTCTTAAACTAATCTACATTCTTAGGGCATTACCTATATTCAGCCAAGAATAAGAAGATACTCTGTACAGGCCACACAAACAAAGCGAGGTCTGGCATGCTCCAACCTATATAATTATTTTGTTGCTTCCCAACTCATCCTAGGGATGTCCGATACCACTTTTTCAAGACCAAGTACAAGTACTTCCCCTCATGTACTTGCCGATACCAATTACAGATACTTTTTTTTAAAGGGACATGTGGCGTTAAAAAAAAAAAAAAACAATACAGGCTAATGATTTTAGGCCAATTTCTTTACGATTATAAAGGACTTTAATTTAAGACTGTTTTAGAACATTAAAACATTTAACCTATTCCTGTTTTCAACCGCGATCGTGTGGGACCCAGGCGGTATGGCGGCGGGAAACCGTGCGATCTGATTGGCGCTAATGGAGTGCCATTAGAAATTAATGGCACTGCCAACACGATCAGCGGTGGTGTGCGATTCCGTGACCGCCCAGCCATCCGATCGGTTTGGTGCACGATGACCAGGCGGTCCTGGATTGCACACCACAGCCGATCGCGCTGCCAGTGCCATTATTTTCTAATGGAACCCCAGTCGTGCCAGGCAGATTGCATGGTTTCCCACCGCAATACCGCCCTGCCCGAGCGGTTGCACACAATCGTGGTTGAAAACACTGTGCGTTTATTCACATGCAGATGATGGGGGCAGCGGGGCTGGTTTTCATTTTTTTTTATTATTTACTATAAAAATGTTTAATTTCCATTTATTTTATTATTTTAATTTTTTGGCCTTGTTAATTTTTTTACATTTTTATTTAGTTATATTTTTAATTAGTTATTATTTTTTACTTTTTAACTTAACTTTATTGCTACCACACAGGGAATAACAAACCACTGTGTGATAGCATTTGGAGGTGACAGGTACTCTTTATTGACCCTGTCCTCCAACACAGGAGTTCTAGCACAGCACCGTGCTAGAACTCCAGTGACAAGAACGATTAGCAGCCGGGAACAGAGGCTGAGGGAGGTGACAGAGCCTGTCACCGCTCCACGCCCCCTGCTCTGTCACCGCTCCACCCCCCCTTCACTGATCCAAGCCCCCCGCCGTCATCGCTCCATGCACGCCGTCACCGTCACTGCTCCATGCCCCCTTCTCTCACTTTCCCGGAACTATATGTCCCGAGCGTCGGGCGATACGAATTAAACACCGATGCGCAAGCATCGGCATTATGCATCGGGGCATTTTCACAAGTACTTGTGAAAATGCCTTGCATCTGTCCTGATTCTGATGCTAGCATCGGTATCGGGACATCCCTAACTCATCCTTATTTATGACTTGCCCCAATAACTTCTAGACCCTTGATTCTCAACTTTCACTTTTCTGGGAGAGGCTCATCAGCCTACCCCTAGCGGTGCCAGCTTGAGGTGGGGTGGGATGAGGCTATGGACAGGAGGGAGCTCTGTTAATACGTGTATTGCTTACAGATCCCTCAAGTGTCCAGTAGAGATGCCTGGACTGGGGTGATGTCACATTCTGTGTCCCGGCACCTCTACAGGGTACGTAAGGGAGCTGTACAAGCATTGCACATATGGATGGAGCTCATTCACAGCACAGCACCCCACACTGGACCCCAGACTGAGTATCCACTCCAGTTCTCGTACGATAGGGAGACTGGATGAGGGAGAATGGATGGATCTTAAAAATAAAAACATTTTTTATTTTTTTTGGGAGTGTGTGTGAGATTGTGTCTGGTTCTGTGCGTCTCTGTGTTTCTGAGGGCCCGTTCACACTAGTACAGTGCGTTATTCACACAGTCCCGTGCAATTAACACATTTTACCACCAATGGCACCACCCACAGTTCAATCACCCGCAATCCCGTGCATTCCAGTGGGGTGTGACTTGGGTCACAACTTAATGACAAAGGACAAATGTGGGTCCTGAGGTGACACAGGTTGAGAACCACTGTTCTAGACTATATCGATTGTGCCACTTTAAACAGCTGTATTACATGGTCTCCAGCAGATGTTTTCTTGCTGGCCTAGATCAAATCTTGACTGTATTTTTTCACCTCCACAACCACTTATACCACCCTGGATTCCCTTGTAGAATAATCTCAAACTTATAGGACTTAATGGGAATCCTAACTCCACATGCTGGTCCAGCAGGGGTGTTGTGTAACTTTCAAGGTTATTTGATAACAGTTCACTGTTCTATGTTAAAGCACAAGTTCTTTTTCAAATAGCTCCTACTAAGTCATGCTAAGATTCAGTTTGGCGCTCTGGAGTTAAATATATCCTCTTGCCCCTTCGATGATTCCCTCTACACTGCAGGAAAAAGCAAAGCTGAGCATGTCAATTTACTAATATGTTTAAAACCCAAAAAGGTGCCCAGCCATTTATGTTATTCCATCATAATTTATTTCAAACCTTACAGAGCAGAGGTGGGAAGAAGGTGACACAGTTTATTGATGTCATCAGCACTGCCAACAAACATACACAAATTAAATGTATCATCCAGGTGCTCTAAACTCTAGGCAAATTGCAATGTATGGGCCTTGCACTTCATGCCCAATATCCCAGATGCTATGAATCTCCAGAAACTGGAGCAACTTCCAATCTAAAATGGATACCTACTGCTCCAAAAACACCAGAAATCTGGCATTACTAATGATTTTGTTCCACTATCACATACACGTACCATGTTTTGGCTGATCCTTTTCCAAGCCATGAAGGCCATTTTTACTCAACTGAAAAAAAACACCAATTCTACAACCCAACATCAAGTGTTCCTCCAATTAAAGACCGAACTCCCTAAATATTGCATCATTTATATTGTGAGAACGTGTCCTAACAGATCATACAAAATATTGACACCTGAGATATCCTTACAGACTTATATAGCTCGCCTCTGTCTTTATGGGTAATTGAAGGGGTGAGAAAGCTGGTATGAATGCGCATATGCAAGGTTGTATGAATGTTGTATGTACGTATGTACGTACGTATGTATGCCCAAGTTGTTGTTAATCATTCATGTTGCTATAGCTCTAGCTATTGCTGTTGCAGTAATTGCAGTGTTAACAGTTGTTAATAACTATGCAAAATAAAAATTAACACCTTTAAAAAAAAAATGTCCGGCAATTTTGTAGCTTTTAGCAAAATTCAACATTGCACCTACTATTAATAAGTACTAACATGTTCGCTGCATAGAAGCAAAACCATATTTCTCACCCGTAGCTGTGAGAATCGTGGTGGTTTTTGAGGAGGATCCTCACATGGTCTTTCTGCAAGCGAGGCTAAGATTCTTTTTCGATGTCCCAATAAATTAACTTTTAGCACCTGCCAGGAAAAGAGAACATTTAACTTTGCAATCTTTATTCGTTTCATGGTCTAATCTGGTAAAACAGGGACCAGATCTATTTACGAATACATTTTCCATGGTCTTACATACCTATTCATCTTAAAAAGCACTTCTTAACAAATCCAAACCAGCAGACTACCTGAATGCAAAAATGTTGGATACCTAGTACTTAGTCTGTGTGCAGTTTAATGATCCCGGAACAGAGAAAGACCTCCAGTGCTGGGACAATTAATGGCACTTCACTAACCACCTTTATAATGTCTTTTACAAGCACAAAACTTTGGGTATACAGAGCATGTGACCCACTCCCTTTTTCCCCACAGTGCGACCATGCATGAGCGACATCATATGGGGACAGGCGAAGAGTATTTTTGGTTACAGGGAAGGAATGAATGAAGCAGTAAAAGAGTGAAGGTAAGATAATTATATGCAGCAAATGGTGGGAAGGGAGAAATCTTGCACTCTGCTGTGCATGGGAACCCCCCATTTAAAGCAAGACTAAAAGGAAAACTTACATTGACAATCTCAAGTTCCCACAAATTTCGAAGTGTCTCCATAGAGGTATAGCCGCTGCTTAGAAAGCTGGAAGCATACTGCTGGAGGGAAAGAGCACGCAGCCATGAGGTTACAGACTGATCCCATGACAACGGGAATGGCTTTAAAAAAAAAAAAGAAGTAAATTGTGAGTCCACATGCTTAGCATATCCAGTGTATGCAAGCAAACACGTTATTAGGGTGAATTCAGACTGCAGTTGTGTTTAGTCAGATTCAAAAACATACATTTCTAAATAGATTACTGCACGGCAGATCACATGTCTTGCATAACAAAAGAAAAGTGACGCAAAGCATAAGTGGAATTATTACGCACAATAATCCTTTCCGGAGTTGAAAACAGGTAAAATAAATTAAGTGAGAAAAAAAAAGACTGTACATAGAAACAATGGTGAAATGGTAATAATATTTTATAGGATTTAGTTTAATGGATACAAGAGCAGTGCCAATACAAAATGACTGGCAAAGAACAGATATTGATGCTCTCAAAAAATACAAGGTTTATCAATGTATTATGAGCTTGTTGCATAGAATCACTGAAATATATAACAGATGTGAAATATATTACAACTGTCTTATCCCACAGGTGTGCATTCACAACCTAGTGTTATCAGCATCAGACTTTTTGTGTTTGCAAAAAGCACTACACTGCTATTTCATTCTATTTTATATAGTGTGTGTGTTTCACATTTAAGTGTTGGCTGCTAATTTTGTTTATACATTTTTTTTTACACACAATTAGCAGAGAAAAGACACAAATAGTGTATGTAAATACATGAACATTTCACGTGAAAAAAGGAGGCATGCAGAGCAGAGCATTTTAGGGTAACGTTAAACATGTGATTAAATCATTTATTTTGCCAAGTATGTGATAAGGTATGCTCTATTAAACATATATACCGGAATTTGTCTTCTCGGTCGCAGAAAGAACATTTTAAAAGGAACCTCTAAGCACCCCATATCTAATTGTCTAGTTGTGTTACATCTGCCTTCCAAACCAGCATGGACTTTACAAGATGAAAGTTTTGGATGATACCATCCATCTGCAGATGTCACCTATAAGACCCCGACTAGGGCCATGATAAAAAAAAGTTTAAAATTGAGAATGGAAGGCATTGCAGATTTAAAGTATCTGTACAGTAGGGCTGCAACAACTAATCGATAAAATTGATAATGAGAATTGCTGTCAATGATTCCAAATCAGTCGATTCAGCTCAGCCCCACGCCGGGGGGCAGCAGCCTCTTTTTATGTAGTTTCCCCCCTGGATCTGCCACTAGCCCTGCCTGCGGCGCCCAGCCCCCCCTTACTTTTGGTACTGGCAGTGGGTGTGTGCAATAGCCAGTATGCTAGTGGCTACTGCAATTTGAAAATTCCAATAGCAGGCTGGCTATTGTACGCTGCCACTGCCTGCTGTCAGAATTTTTTTTCCCCCAAGAGCTGGTTGCCCAGCCAAGCTGTATAGCCACCCAGATCACTTGTAGTTGTAGCAGTCGGCCCTGACTGACGTCATTAATTGCTAGGAAGCCAGCGGTCCTAGCAACCAATGACTGAAGCTGAGGGGGGGCATGCCCCGAGTTATGGCTGGCAGTGGAAATACTGGCCTCGGAGGCATGTTTATCCACCATCAGCCAGCCATAACTCATAACAGGTTGGTGATTGTGGTCCGGACACAACTGCCACTCAGTTCGCCATTTAGTGACCAGTGCTCTATAGTATTCCCTTTTGCTCCTATCCTAGCAGGTACATAAAAGTGTATGTAGGGAAGTGAGGGGAGGGAGAACCCAGGTCAGCAAAGACCTTAATTAGACATTCCCAGAAGAGTAGAAGACTATAATGTGACATGAGAGGGATGGGAAGCATCGGTGCCCCATATGTGTAGAGCAATGCAAGACGCCGACATAACAGAGAAGAGAGGCCTCAAGGCCTAATTGTATACATGTCAAAAAGTCGTTTCCTGGGTCTCACCACAGTCTAGGCATCAACAAGGCCTAAAAGTAGACAAAGCAGTATAAAGGGTGACCTGCAAAGAGACGCTGGACCGTGACAGGGCTCCAGCCAGCGATTGACCTCTTCTGGAAAGTTGAACAAAGTTGCCTTGCCAATGTCTGCAACACATGGCGTCACTAAATAGAACATTGCATAAGACACTTTCAGGGCCAATAATTTGTGCTTCACAGACTGGAATTTAGTATGCAAACACTGAACTTCCAAGCAAAATTATGGAAAGGAGAATACATTATTTTTCACAGTACTTTTTTGTACATAGTTTTCTTATTGTAGAGAACTCTTTTCACTTGCAGCATTGAGTAAGGTGTCACAAACATGGCTGAAAAGATTCCCCAGCCAAATAGGCCTATCAGAAGTTCTTCAAGAAAAGTATCGGGGGAGCAGCCATTTTGTTTTCTAAAAGTCCCACTAACCGGGTTTGTGATCAGCATTGTTTGTTCTAATGATCACCTCATCTCTTCTGTAATTTTTCTGGAGCTGGTGCAACGCAGCATCCATAGGGACAACCAAATCCACCAGTAGACTGATGTGGGATTCGGCCTTGGAGACTCTGGCTACCCAGTATCTGGAGATCTTGTCTGGCCAATGACACTACTTTAACCTCTTGAGTTTTCATTGTCAAATTAATGTGGCAGGAGACTATGGTTTCCTAGATCTCCATGATGTGTGCATGCGTTACCAAACTTGTAGTCATAGAGTAGGCTGCATCTTTGGCAGTAGGCCCATGAGTCTTCTGGTCGTCGCTCCAGAATCTGTAAAGCCTTAAGGTGATCTCTGATGAAGCCATGAGGCAAAAAGTACAGAGGTCAAGATGAAAAGGCAAGAGAGCTGGACAGTGCAGCTCTTTGTAGCAGGTTTTCAATGAGGAGCTGCTCACCCCAATAAATCTAAATATATAATCCAGCCACGGACTCTTCTAACATCTACTCCAAATCAGATTCTTATTTTGTCTGATTTAACTAGAAGACACCTGACGCTGACTCGAGTATAAGCCGAGGGGGGCACTTTTCAGCCAAAAAAATGGGCTGAAAATCTCGGCTTATACTCGAGTATATACGGTAAATTAAAACAGCAACAGTATGCGCCCTGTCCATCAAACTGCCAAATGCATTACTATTTATTTTCACAGGACCCTGAAATTAACCCAGAACACGGAAAAAAGGTGGTACCTTTGGTAAAAAGTGGGCTGCCTGAAGAAGTCGTCGGCGATGCTCTACATCAGTGATTCCAATATCCATCAGGTCCTGATCCTCTAATATATTATCAGTCTGCAGGAACAAAAAGACATTTTGAGTACTAAAGATTACCAAACCTCAGTAGCACTAACACAACAGTGTAAGCAACAAGTATATGCCGGTACTTCTACAAGTACATTTTCTATGCAAGCTTAAAAAAAAAAAAAAAAGTGTTGCAGAAATTATTTACCTATCTATGCTTGAAGCATCTTAAACACTATTTGAGGCTCTTTTGTGGTTAGGATGATCTTTCCCCCTCTCTGGAAAAACACACTAAGGCCAAAAATGGTGGTGGAAAAATGCAATTTCCGTTTGCCAAAACGGAATGGAACGGATTCTGTTTGCCTGCCACATGGTATCTATCCAAATGCATACTTATGTTTACAAACTGGACCAATACACATGCTGTGACTAGAGCTGCCCTCCTCTGCTGTGGGAGTAAATGATTGGAACATCAGATGGATTCCCTTTAGGTGATAATCAACCTAAAACATCAGAGAGACCAGCTCTAGCACCAATAGGAAAAAGGTGCTAGAAAAACAGGTTATTCTTTTACAAAGCAGAGGTGAAAAAAAGATTCCCATCCTCCTAGCATACTAGCAAAAAACTAAGGCATGCTGGTAATAGGAAGGGTTATCCTGGGCCGGCCTACAGATTTTATCTTTGCCTGTGTCCAGCTCTCTTGAAGGTGGCAGTATAGCCTGAAGGTGAAAGGCTTTCCCTGTCCTTCAATGGACAAGAAAGAAAATGTATTTTTTGATTAAATTCCTGTCCGTCGTCATAACTTTGTGACAATGCAGAGACAAAAAGGGGTGCAAAGGAAATATATTGTTTTTTTTTCTGAGCATATAATCCAGCATGGCTGATTTCCAAATGTTTAAGTATGTACAGCCTCCAGAAGATTCTGAATGGTTTGTTTTCTGGACTGCCAATGTGGCTGAAAATATTATACGTTCATCTGATCCAGTTACCGTTATAACACACATTGCACTTACTTATTACTCAGGTGTTAAAAATAAAGCAAAATGATTAACATTTCTAGGGACACAGGTTTTCATGGACAAGCCTCCAAAATGTGGCAGTGCCCATAAAAATCAGATACAATGCTTACCTGTGTAATATTGCTAAAACCAATTAAAGAAACATTTAACAAAAGAGATTAGGTACTCCTTCCCATCAGCAAGTCATAGCAGATAATAAATACATATCTTCACCGTGCTCTTAAATGCAGGGTGGGAAAAGGCAACTAATTATGCTGGTTGTCTGGTTTCACAGATGAGCTGCTTTGTATAATACAGCCAAATTGGGATAACACCTATTTTATATTTGATACATGTTTTCATTTACACAGCATAAGCTAAAACAATATTTAAAAAATGCTTGCAGTTTAAATTGGGTTTACATTTCTACGTGCTTGTCCTTTCTTGTAATGTTAGGAGGGATTGTGAGAGGTCTGTTAACCCTGCGTGTATTGTGCTGGCTCATTTCATTAAACTTTGTGAAGTAGATTTGAACACTGCATGTTCTAACAAAAGGTTAAAAGATTAATAGCCTGGTTTCTTCATTGTATGTTAATAAGGTTCATGAGAGAAACACAATCCACAAACTTCAGTCCTAAGTTTTTCTATAAAGAACAGGCCACTGTGAAGGTGCTCAAAAAAACTTGGATTCAGCCATGTTACCTGCTGCAGCAAAACATCTAAAAAGTATGAATTTTTTTTTTTTTTTTCGGTATGCTGCATGAATGGGAAAAACAAACATATAGGAGGGGTGTTCTCAAATGTAACAACTGGAGGCAAGGTGGGTTACATTTTGATGTAAACATCTTAAACCACTTCAGGATTTAGTATTTATTGCATCCTGCCCTGAAGTTAAAAAGGTGTAACAATAAAAAATAAAAAAATGTGAGCTTTTTTTTCCTTAGGTTCAGTGGGCCCAGTGCTTTTAAAAAATGTGATTGGGGCAGCTGTTAAAGCCCAAACTCCATCCAAATCTTTTTTGTAGTTTTTTGAAAGAAGATATAAGGACTAGAATCTCTGCAAACATTTCATGACTGTCTGTGTTTGTGTGGTTTTTTTTTTGCTTCTTGTCTTCTGTCTGTACCTGATAAGTGACAGACAAAAAACGGACAAAACGGGAATTGAGGGGAGATTTCCTAGTGAGGAAGTTTAGAACCTTCCCCAGTATTGTACTACTGCCTTTGACCCCATGAAGGACCATGAAGGACCATTCACTTTCTTTCCTGGTGACAGGTGCCAAACAGAACAGGAAGAGAAAAGAAATTGGGGACACAGATGGAAAACTGAAATCTAAGAGAATGTCACTCATCCAAAACTTCGTATTGGCTGGATCTGGCCTTTAAATATAGACCCTGACTATGTCTATGATCTGCCCATTTCTGTGCCTACTTTTAGTTAGTAGACTGCATTCCATACAGGAGGATCTTGGAGTAGACCACCTGGTCCACTCCAAGTCCAGAGGACTTCCTGGGCAGTATGACCATTGTAACGGGGGGCCAGTAAAAAGGAAAAGTGATAGATGGTAGATACATTCCTCCACGGATCCTTAGATTCATCATCTAAGGTAATGCCAGCATAGATTTGGAGGTAAAGAAAAATATCTCTTCACCTTGTATTGGTAAAACAAATTCTGGGGCTGGTGTTACTAGGAGTCTGATAGAGCTCTGGGTGGGACTCCTAGTTCCATCGACGGTAGTTTAGTGAAGACTGCACAGGACTTCATTAGTGTGCAGCTGCACCTAGCTGGGGGAAGCGTGTGTCTCAGTGCAAGCTCTGTGTTTGGAGCCAAGCCTGTCAGTAGGACAGGGTTCTGTGGATGGACTGTAACTGTTCCCGTAGAGGAAACAGACCCAGCTCAGAGAACTATCGCTAATACCCAGTAAGGCTCAGTGGAGCAGACTTTTATTTGTTTATGCCAATTTAATTTTTTGGGCTGGATACCTGTAACCTTTTTTTTGTCAATTGATTGCTGTCTGGAATTAAAGCTAGCAATTTTGTTGGAGACTGTGAGTTTGCCTCTACATTGAGACTATTTCCCTATACCATGTAAAGTGTGGACGAAGCCAAAGATCTGCCCACTGCATTCACATTTACAGGGCATGCTTGACAGATTTAGGAGTTTGCCACTCCCTGAAGACAGCAAATTTCTTTCTTGCTGTAGAAAGAGCACTCTTTGCTGAAAACAAAAACCACAGCATCCATTCAATTCCACATAAAAAATACGCTATAAGGGGTTATAGGAAATGCAATCCTAACCACTGTTCTTATGTTGCAAGCACGAGTCACTTTCCTGGTTGTGAAACACTCCCCTAAAGCAGCCGCTTTTAAATTTAGCCACTGCTGCTCTGTCACATGAACGTGACTTTCAGAAAGCATATGACATACCCTACCTTTTCAGATAATGTACTCACCAGGAAACGCACATCATCAAATCCATTTAGCACAAACTTGCTCTCATACTGCAGAAGACCAAGTGATTCTAACCATTGAGCTACACTCTGCCCAGGTACACGGGATCCTATAAGCATTAATAAAAAGGAGCAGCATTACTAACTTGTCTATCGCTACAAGCACTCTTTGCATGCATTAGTTTTTACATTTTGTTGTTACCTGCTATGACCTGTTGCTCCTGAGAGAATTCTATACCCTGACCAATAGAACTCATTATCTTATCGATCTGTGGAAAGAAAAATCCAGAACAGACAGGAGAAAAAAGGAATATCACATTCATAAAAGTGTGTCGAAAGAGCAGCAAATATATAGACTACTGTTTAGTGCCTGCTTATATTTCCCCTAAAAGGAAATTAGCAAAGATTTTACCCAGTGGGATTTACATAATACAAATAGGAAACAGATCAAGCATTGCACAGTAACTCTAAAGCAGCCAATCAGAAATCAGATTTTTTTGTTATGAGTAGGCTTGCTGTAAAATGTTTGCTGACCAGCCACAAGTTACTACATGCCCTCCTACCATTTTATAAAATTAACTGAATTCTACCACTTTCAAATATTGATTGAAAGCTTCATCAATTACATCAAGCTATACCTGTAATGCATATACATATATAAGGATCTTAAAGTCACTTCCTCTTTTGGGGTATTTTAAGCAAGCACTAAAACAGGGCATTTTGAATACATCATGACTAAGCATTGGAAGATATCCCATTAATACCGCAGAGATATTACAGCCAAAACATTACAGCCAAGCAGTTTTATCTTGAAACAGACATAAGTAGATGATTTCCTCCACCAAACCACATCACAGCTGGCAGCAACACACAACAAAATTACAAGAAAAAGCAACAATCAACATAAGCAGACAACCTTGCTACCAACACCCAGGCCCCTCTAACAAATGCCCCCAGCTGTCTTACGTATTGCTTGGGGGGAGATTCTGGGGCCAACTGGAGCCTCTGCTGAAAAAGCAGCATTGTTAGAACTATTAATATAAAATCCTGTGTTCCCTTATCAAATACATCTGAAGACCATCAGCAATCACTCTGATTGAACAATCCAATTCTGCATTGACTAACACAAATTTGATAACCCATTTCTTTGCCAATACTGCTATTCCCCCACTAAGATTCACAAAATGACAGCTTTGTAGGTCCATGACCTCAAAAACCTGTCTTGCCCTTACTATCCACTCACATGTCATTCAAGTGGCTCCCCATTTCTCTGACTGACCTCATCCCACTCTGAAGTGAAGGAAGGGGACTTCTCTAGTCTTTTCTTGCTGCCCCCAGCTGCACAGTTGGTGAGAGACTCGCTGCGGTTCCAGTCTTCTCCCTCACCAACTGCTGGGGGGGAACATGTTAACAGGTCCGAATCAGACTTTGACAGACTACGACGAAGTGGCAACTCCATGCGAGAGGCAGCACCGTTTCTACAGCTGTCCGTGCTGACAGGATCACAGGGTACAGGCGGATCTCGAACTTCACACACTGGAGAAGAACCATGAAGGAGCCCAGAGAAGTGCTGAAGCAGATGGGAGTCAGAGCTGTCAGCAGACGTCAAACTCCAACCCCCTGAACTATTCCTCCGCTGCCCACCTAAAAAAAGTGGAGAGACAAAAAAGAACTTTCACGGTACGTGGATGAAGGGAGTGAGACATGAAAACACTAGAACTAAAACATAAAAACAAAACAACCAAAGCACAACACAAAATATTCAAGAAGTGACCGAGACTAAATGCAGAGACAGTGTGAAGTGTCCAAAGCTGGCATTCCAATCATTCTGTGACAGACTGCAGCACAACTGGTGTGAGCTGCTGAACACTAAGTACTATTGTGCATATCTGCTCTCTGACATTTAGAGGGGGAGGCTAAACAGAACAACATTCTGCAGACATGTTTGATGGTAATTTCTTACTGTTTGGCCTCTCAGATGCATGCGATTCCCCTTCAGAATGACCACTAGACAAATCAGAAGAACCACGGCGATTTGCGGGATATGATGGATCGTGTGCGAGTGCAGAGTGACGTGCTCTGACCTAGAGTTCAAGGTATTGCAAATCATAGAACTGAAAACTGTTTTCAACAGGATAATGGGCACAAAATAAGAGGGAGGGAAAGTGATGCAAAACATTTTACCTGGGGCTGGGAGTTTCCAATATCCCCTTCCAAATGCATTAACCCTGTGGAAAATACATAAATACTAGCATGTTTACTTGATTTTTTTTTATGCCCACTTTCACTGTCTAATTATATTGTTAACACTTAAATTGCACTTAACGCTTAATTAATTGCAGGTTGTAACCGATATTTCAGTTAAGAGCATCTTTAAGGCCTATTCACAGTACTGCAGTGCATCAGCGCACTCACAGTAGCATGCGTTGTTTAAGTAGCCCGTTCAATTGAACGGGCTGCCTAATACACCAAAAATGGTGCATATATCAATTCTGGCAGTGCATATCTGTCAACAAGGTGGGTTGGGGTGCCATTCAGAATCAATGCCAAACTTGGTCTGGGCATTTAGGCTTCAAAAGACTCTGGTCACTAGAGTTAATCATGGCACCATCCATGGTTTTCCTACATGAACCACTGCATTTCTTATTTTAGGATTAGGGTATTGCTATTTCTTTTCTAATCTTAGTTCGGTTATATGCTTGTTTATTTCTATTGCGTTTTACAGTGTGGCTTTTATTCCCATTACTTTTTAATTGGTGTTCTACAATACACAGCCTGTGGATTATACATAACTTTTTTTTTAAATAGATGATATACATACGATTAGATAGATTAGATAGATTAGATAGATTAGATAGATTAGATAGATTAGATAGATTAGATAGATTAGATAGATTAGATAGATTAGATAGATAGGTGTATGTATGTATATCATTTTGTAAAAATTTTATTTACCTTGTTCTTTGCTAGCTCTGAGGTCTACAGAACTACACCGTTCTGCCTTATGGACAATTTTATGTTGCTATGATACAGAGGGGTGAGTGTTGCCCCATTCTAGGACTGTAAGTGCATTTCTGGCAGGATCCCCGGATCAGAATGAAGGAGGATAAAAAAAAAAAGGGAATCCAGCCGCTAAATGGCCATTTTAAAGTCAACTGAAGTCACAGAAATAATCTCTCAGTCAGATACAGATTTACTAACAACTTCCATTTTCACAGTAGCTGTAAAGGGTTTTCAAACATGACTGCACAATCCAATAGGTAGAAAAGATAGACCTAGTGCACTCAGTAACATTTCTGGTCTGGTATACCTAATCTGTTCTTCTGCAATACAAGTCTGTGTGAGGACACATGTAATAAAGGGGAGTGGCTTTTACTCAGCTATGCCACCGCAAAGCAATACCAGCTTTTTTGGGTTTCACGAGTACTTGAGGCCTTGCTTCAAACGTATTCTTCCTCAGACTCCTACATAGCTCTGCCAGGTCAGGCTGAGTCACCTGCCATGTCAACTGGGGTCTCAACTACAGTCACACAAGAATTTGAGGCCTCCCACCCCACCACTACAAAGATTCTATGGCTGATCTGCCCACGACCCTAGCAGTTTCTGAGCCATTTGTTGCAGTGACTATATTTGAGTGTCTTTAATCTTTAACTAATGAGATTATCTTTGAGGAGTCGCAGTCTTCCGCTATTACTCCACCATCAAGAAAGACTATATAGGTTCTTTGCGGACTCCTGAATAGTTTGCCTATCAGGCACCCAGGTACAGAGAGTATTTCAGAGAAACAAACTGGACATTCGCCTTCTGCTCCCTCTTCACCTTTAACCTTCCTGTGTCTCCACAAAGATTACCAGACCTACATCTGCCCCTTTAAGGTCTCCTGGACCAAGGTGTCATTGTCCCAGCTTCTGTGTCAGGACAGTTTCAGGAGTTGTACTCCATCCTGGTCATTGTTCTCTTTCCCAAAGAGTACAAATTCTTGTTTTTTGGGCATGTAAGAACAATTTGCATGGTACCCACTACATTTACTATTCCTTCTCTTCCCAAGAGGGATTTTCTGGCTTCTGTGGTCTATTAGAACATGTACATACAGGTCCCTGTCCTTTCAGTGCTTTTTGATTTTTCAGTCTTGCCTTTGCACCCCTATTGCTCTCATAGCATCCCCACTGAGGGACTCTTAGGTGACCTTCTGTGAAGGAAGCAGTCAGCATGGGTTATATAGGACATCTCTCTAAATGTCCACGTGTCAAAGGTTTGGTTGGATCCTGAATCTTCAAAAATCAGCACTGGAATTCACTCATCACCTGCAGGCTGCTTAGACCAGAAAGTTTTTTCCACTGAACAATCTTTCTGATCTCATGACTTGTCCTTCAGTCCTAGAGTTGCCCGCCAATCAGCTGTTGCATGAGAGTCATGGGTCTTTGAGGCAGGCCCTTTTCTCCAGTCTATCCACCAGACTGTCTCAGCAGTACACTTTATTGTTAAGGGACAATTTGGCCTAGTTACTGAGCAGACCAAAATCGCTAACCCCTAAGGATCAGGTAGTTGCTAGTCTGGTGGATCAGTCTTTCAGCTCTGGAGTTACGGAAGTCTTCCCTTTTTCACCTTTTTGGAAGATCCTACCAACAGACATAAACCTGTTGGGCTTGGGAGGAGGCACAGGCACCCTGCCAGTGCAGAGGCCCTTTAGAGAATTTTTGTCTCCCGATCTACATTCTGGAGTTACAGGGGATGTGATTTTTTCTATATAATTGAATCATCCCATTGTCAGGTCACCTGAGATTGAGTTGGACAATCGCAGCAATCGTATGCCTCAACCATCAAGGAGGAACAGAAGCTCTTGCTGTGATAAGTGAAGCAATTCGCATCCTGACCTGGGCAGAACTTCATGTTTTAGTCCAGTTCAATGCGCTCAACTCTGGTGCAGACAATTGGTGTGGCTTCCCCAACTGGTTACATCTGAACATGAAGGAGCATTGCATAAACCCAACAGCATTCCAGTGTTGCAGATGGAGGATGATGCATATGGACAACCTGATATTCTGGTTTAAGTGTATGCTGAACAGTCTTGAGGTGCAGGAATCAGTGAATGCTCTGGTGACTTTGGGGAATCTATACATCCAGATCTGTGCTTTTCCTCCCTCTAACGCTTCTTCCTCATCTGCTTTACAGACTTGAGATGGAATTCTTGTGACTTTCCATGCTCTGGATTTACCCAGGCAAATGTACCTTGTTGACCTGGTAAGGCCTGTTACTCCATGGGCTCTAACAGATTGTTGTATTTGTGAAGCCAGGAATATCTCCAAATCTGTGATTTTTTACGATATTCTAGAATAGAAAGGATATTCCAGCAAGGTCCGTCATGGGGCTTTGCCCCAGGAGTTGCTTTCCCTTCTTGCAGATAAGTTGGATTAAAGCTCACTGTTTCTCTCAGCATTTTTCAAGAACCGCCAGTTGGACTCCTCCGAAGGAATTCTACTGGTAATAATCTCCCCTGCCAGGTGAGTATCTGACTTGACAGCCTTTCCATGCATGGAACCATATTTTTTGGTGACCCTGTACTGGAATGAGAGGAGTTTAGAGGTAGGACCTTCTTCTGACCTAGGGCCGTTTGTGGTCTTTTCCTCAATCAGCACATCATTTTTCAGTCCCTCTGTTCAGCTCCAGTTCTCCTTGTTTGACTAAGCTTCAGATTGTGAGCCTCGCTCATTCTCTCAGCTCCCAATTGTCATCCCAGATGGACTCTGTAGGGTGATTCAGTCTCTCATTCCACCATTCAGGGTGGTTTAGGAAAAACCAGCTTCAAAGCTTATAAGTTTTAAGGATCGGTTTTCTCGTTCCCTGTCCAGACATACTTCACTGCCTATGTGAGTGTAAGTTTATGTACCAGCCTCAAGCATTGGTACCCAATGCAAGGCTACCACCTCGTCTTTTCACCAACCAGAGATTGCGGCCTGATCCGACACCAAAAAAGTCTTGAAATAGGATTTTTGTACTCATTGAAAAATCCATTTTTTTCATGTCCATTGAGGGACACAGGTCACACCCCTCTGTTTTTGATAATGTTCTTGGTACTGCTTTCTCTATAAAACTTTTAGCCATGCTGGTAGTTGGAGTGGTTATTCTGGGCTAGAACAGTTTTTTTGTTAGCCAGTGTACAATGCTACTGTAGGTGGCAGTATAATCCAAAAGGTGAAAGACTTCCTGTGTTCCTCAATGGACTCCAATAATTGGATTTTATGATGAGTATACAAATCCTATTTTAGAACAATTTTCAAGCATAAAAGCATTTATTATTTGTTTGCGAGGGTGAATGACCATAAAAGAGATAAAAAGGAGAGAGACTTAAATCAGATTTTAAATAATCTTGCAAGTGCGAACACCTGCCGTATTCCCAATACCTACTCTGTTCCATAGCACATGGCTCCTTAAAAGATGGCAGTATGACCCTGCCACAGTATTGTATTATCGTGTCCCACATTTCTAAATCCTTAAAAAGCACTTGACACTGAAGAACAGTAAAACTTCACATATATAACACTTAATATTACACTAATCGAATGGAGAGCACCATCCCCCAGCCAATCACCCCTTTCATGAACTTACTAGGAGTCCTCACATCAGTCGACCTTTCACTACTCTTACATGGAAGGCAAAAGTGGCAGACAGGGGCGGGGAGAAGGCGGGGAAGAGGCAGAGCGGGAGGGGGGCCAAGTTGCTGCACCATGGGCCTCTGGGTTGTACTTGCCCCCTGGGCTAAAAGTTGCCAGTCAGCCCCTGCTCTATAGTCATGAAAAAGCAGGTCACCAGCACTCAAATTATTTAAATAGATATGTCCTTTTTAATGGACAATTATGTCACGACAATCAACAAAGCCGACGTTTCGGGGCCGCGCAGGGTCCCTTCTTCAAGGCAGATAGATGTGACCTGCTTTTTCATTTCGTACTTTGCACTGTGCCATCCGTGGAAGTCACTACAAGCACCATCATTCTTACTGGCCGGGATTGCTGTAAGGTGTGCGGAGAGCACCCTCATCAACTGATACTCTATAGTCAGACACTGTGCATGCAAGAGATACTAGGATGCTACATGAAATAAAGGCTAGCCTGCCAATGGGCAGTTCAGACAGTCATAAAATGTTGTCAACAGCCAAGGTCTGTATATCGATTGAACATTTACATAAGTAAAAGGGTAGGAGAGTTTTTTTTAATTGCAGCTCCATTTTAGCTTGTATTTGGGACTCTTCTGGATGGACCAACCACTTTACAGGATTGTACTGTTGTAATGTAATGTACTGTTGTTAAATGTACTGTTAAGAAAAGCTCTTACAGTGAACTTGACCTGACCTAAATTGGTTCTAAGATAAAAGTGCTGAGGTACAGACATGTATTAATCTTCAGACTGATATTTATGAAGCCCCTTGGATCATAGGCCCTGGCAATACATTGAGAGTACAAAAGTGAGAAAAAGGTCAGCTTTGTTTTTACAGTTTCTTTTTTAATAGTGGATAAGGGATTAGGTTTGTATTGGTATTTGTGACTACACTGAAATGTTCTCTTATTGTGTGTTTCAGTGAATCCCCTGTCACATCTAGACAAGAATTGAGAGAGAATTAGGGGTCAGCAGAACAGGAAGGAACAGGCAACAATATAGAACCTCGCAGGAAGTTCTAACCTTTCCCTATAATACTTAATGGGGGGAATGTATCAAAACTGGAGCAGATTTGCACTGCAACCAATCATCAGCTTCTATCTCTCATTTTAACATTTCAACTGAGCAAACTGAACAGAGATGCTGATTGGTTTGCCATAGGTAACTGCTCCAGTTTTGATAAATTCCCCCCACTGTGTATTAGATACAGCCTCTATCCCTATTTAAGAAACATCCCATTAGTTCTTATCCTTCTCATCTCCTGGCACTGGGACAGACAGGAACTGCAGCAAGAATATAATATAATATATACAGGTGAAACTCAAATAATTAGAATATCGTGCAAAAGTTCATTTATTTCACTAATGCAACTTAAAAAGGTGAAACTAATATACGAGATAGACTCATTACATGCAAAGCAAGATAGTTCAAGCCGTGATTTGTCATAATTGTGATGATTATGGCTTACAGCTCATGAAAACCCCAAATCCACAATCTCAGAAAATTAGAATATTACATGCAATCAATAAAACAAGGATTGTACATAGAACAATATCAGACCTCTGAAAAGTACAAGCATGCATATGTACTCAGTACTTGGTTTGGGCCCCTTTTGCAGCAATTACTGCCTCAATGCGGCGTGGCATGGAAGCTATCAGCCTGTGGCACTGCTGAGGTGTTATGGAAGACCAGGATGCTTCAATAGCGGCCTTCAGCTCTTCTGCATTGTTTGGTATATATATACACACATACATACATGCACACAGACACAGACTCCTCTCGCCCCTTCCCCAAGTGGCTCTGTCGGCTAACGTAAATGTGCCCATTGAAATTTACTGATATTATGTTGCAATCAGGTCAAATATTAAGCTAATACTTATGTTTAAATCACCCTTAGGGCTTTGCTGTTTTACCATACTATGTAATTTGTAATTCAGCACGTATTATTCTGAGTTGCCCCACTCAAGCGGCGGCCATATTGAGTGGGGCACGTGAGATTAATAACGTGCTGGATTAGTGTGATCCTAGTTCATTTTATTACTTCATTGTATAGGCCAATGTAGTTGGATCTGTATGTGCGTTATAATTAATCGATTAAAAACATTTTTTATTAAAATCGAACACGAAAACTTTAATCATTACCAGCCCTAGTTAATACATCTTAAGGATCCTCAATAAATGTTCCATCTGTTGCAGGTAGAATGTAATCAGGTAAAGACACCACAAAAACTACACGGCTGCAATAGTTTGTGTACAATAGTTAGATGTATAGATATTTGACAACCTTAGCCAAAAGTTAAAGTGAACCTTTACCCAGATCTTTAAAAAAAACAACAAATACACCTTTAGAAATGTTTAGTAATGACAATCTACAAACAGATGCTTCTAGATCAGGGGCGCCCACAATTTTTCGTCTGGAGAACTACTTTTCAAATGACAAGCTCGATGAGATCTATCAAAGAAAAAACACCTGCATTCTATCGCCTGCATCCGGAACCCAGGCACATTAGTGCCTGCGTTCCAGTCCAGTGCGATCCGCAAAATTGCTGCGAGCACTATTTTTGCAGTAGAAAAATGGCACCAGCACACCATAAGTTGAAAAAGCAAAATATTTTATTGCCAATAGCTGTATCTCATTGGCAAGCGCTTTCGTGGCCTCACAGGGTCCCCTTCATCAGGCTTAGAGAGCACTATTTTTGCAGATCGCTCTGGACCGGCACTAATGTGCCTGCGTTCCGGGTGTGTGCGATCGCACTGTGGGTGCGGGGCATGCCTGCGCTGCCATTGACTTCAATACAACCCCACACCCCCTCCCGCCCCTGAACGCAGGGAGTTGGCCAGCTTACATTCCAGTGCATCCTAGAGGCCCCAGCGTCTTGAAATATTAGGGGTCTAAACAGCCCCCTGATATTTCCCTTTTAAAATAGAAAAAGAAATTGAGAACACAAAGTCCTCAATCCCTTTTTCTGTAGCTTCTGTTCTAAATGAACGGAAAGCACAGAGGCTTCCCATTCATTCAGAAACTATTTACTATCATCCAGTTTCTGAATGGGGAGGAGCCTCTGTAGTGAGTGCTTCTCCCCATTGAGAAAATCATGAATGAACAGGAAGTGATGTAAATCACATCCTGTTCATTTATAACTGGTGACACATACTACTATGTGTCCCCAGTTATTTACAAACACTGGAGTGATCAGCTGATTGCTCCAGTGTTTGTCCTGCAGAGGACCAGTACACATCACTGATACTTACCGATCCTCTGCCGCTCAGCCACGCACACGGGGGCTCAGCTTCTCCCATGGATCCCCCATGCTCTCCCGGGCAGAGGCAGCAGGGGATCCGACACGAAGCACTTCAGCCGCAGGGGGGGAGGGCGGAGCCGCTGTCACAGAACTAAGGCCGAGCGGTGAGGGGAGAGAGAGGTGGCGGCTGTCAGATCCAGACCGAGCGTCTCTCTCTCTCTCCTCACCGTTCGGCATTAGTTCTGCGACAGCGGCTCCGTCCTCTGCGCTCCCCCGCCGCCGGTTCCTTCACTTCTTCTCGGATCCCCACTGCATACAGATGGGGAGAGCAGCGGGGATCCAGAGAAGCCCCACCGGCGGGAGGAGAGGACATCGCGATCTACCAGTGATCACGTTATGGGCACCCCTGTTCTAGATAATTGCCGGCTTTGTATTCTTTGCATACCTTATTTATTTTTTCTTCCCGTCTTCTGACAGTGGCCATGTTTACTAAGGGCAGGTTACTAGCACTCCTATGACTTCCTGGATTTCTGGCACATGTGACTAGGACATGTTATCATGCACATCATCTCAGAGGAGGAAAATGTCTTTCTCTGAGATCTTGTGAGATTTCCCAGCAATGCTCTGCTGATGACAAGGCAATCCCAGTGTGCATTGCTTTGCCAAACTGAAGTCATTTTGCCCTTTCATAGCAGGAAGTGAATGCTCTGCAAGTGTAAGGTGTAAAATGCTGCGATTTTGAAATACTGACGTCTGTTATTATTAATCATCATACAAAGAGGAATGCATTGGTAGAATTTGATTGAGTGTAAAAGGTCCACTTTAAGGGCCGGTTCATACCACAAATAGTACGGCCGGCTCTCTGCATTCAGGGGCAGGAGGGAGCATGGTGGTGCATTGAACTCAAAAGGCACAGCAGCCACTCTTGCAGTATTTTTCCAGATTGCACTGGACCGGAACACAGGCACTAATGTGCCACGTGTTCGGGAGTGGGCGATCGCACTGTGGGTGGGGGGTGTGGCTGCGGTGCCATTGACTTCAATGCACTGCTATGCCCCCTCCTGCTCCTGAAGGCAGGGAGCCAGCCGGAGTGACAATACAGTGCGTTCCAGACCCTGGAAAGCGCTGCTTGTGGTGTGAACCAGCCCTAAAAGAAAAAACATGAGCTGAACCCAAGCTCAAAACTTGGACTGAGTAAAATTAGCATTTACACTGCTGCTACTGTGTTATTAATATTATGAGCCAAGATAACAAATTTACTCCACCTTGATCATCAGGTTTTTTGGTCTCGGCAGTAAGCAGGAGCTCATAGGGGTTCTCCTCTTCCCGACTAACATGCATATGACCAAGAGCCTTATGGAAAACAAAAAGAAAAGAGAAGTGAAACTGCCCAAATTTTGTGCATACTAATTTAACAGTCATTGTAAATCGCAAGTGTGACAGATACCTGTTGGAAATTAGAGACATAATCAATTAGTTCCCCTTTTCCTATCTTCTTGTTAGGACAATACAATATGATAGTTAGACATAGCCATGGCAAAAATGTTAAAGCAGAACTTTACACACCAGTGTCAGGCACTTGTTAGCACTTTTGGATTTATTTACTTTCCTTCCTCTTAAGGTGCCCATACACCTTACGATTATCGGACGAAACTTTTCGTCCGATGATCGAACCGTCGTACGATTTTCGTACGACGGCCCCATCCTGCCCCGATTATCGCAAGGTTCAATCAGCGGTAGTTAGAAAAAAACACCTGGACGACTTGCGGTAATTGACCGCAATTATTTTCGTTTGCGCATGCGCAGTGTTAATCGTACGACTTTTGACGGACGGAAACGCCACCAACCATGCGAACATCGTACGATCAACCAAAGTTTTCAAACATGCTTGACCGTCAAAAGTCGTACGATTGTACAGTACTATCGGTCGGGCACTCTATTCACACGTTACGATTGTCGTACGAAAAGTCGATCGCATACGATTATCGTACGATAATCGTAAGGTGTATGGGCACATTTACTGCTACAGAAAAGTAGCAGGTGAGTAATTATGTGCACTTTTCTAATGCAGCACTGACTACTTCGCCTGCGCTTCTCATCCTGATTAGTTAGGAGACGCTGGAAACCTGCAGTGGTCTATGCTGTGATGACGTCCCTGTTTGCAATGGAGAGTCCATAAGGCTAATAAACACAGACAGGTACTGTTCATTCGCCACAGGCCTAGGATCCATAACAACTGTCTATTGCAGTGCAATCACAGACAATATATCGACTAAAGATCCTAGAATTTACAGCTACCACCTTGGGTATAGCAGTGTTTAACCTTTCCAGTGCAAAGGCTACATGGCTCGGGATCAAATTTAGACAAAATCGTTTGAATCAAGAAACAAAACCCTGAAATTTGTCAGGTTTTAACATGTACATACATGTGTATATAATTACAGCACAACATGGTTTCCCAAGGACTGTGTTCTGACCAGCAAGGTTCCCTGATCCTCTTCTGTGCAGTACCATCTGTGTGTCCCTGTATCACCCCTGTGGCACATATCTGCCTGAGATCTCATCAGTAGCTGGAAGCTTAGGCCAGAGGACAGTGGCTAACATCACAAGCTAGGAACTTAGGCTAGATGACAGTGTCCAAAGACAGAGGGAAGAAAGTAGGAAAGGGACTCCTGGCTAGTCAGGAAGATGGCAGGCCTGACATTTCAGCACAAACTTTAGGTTTGTTTCATACACTATTATAGTGATACATACACTCTAGTGCTGTCATTATTACATTTTTCTTTTATGCAGATAAAAATGCAATAGTAAGTCAAACACAAGTAAATCTATATTCACAAGTTCCCACTAGATCTTTTTGTTTTATTTTGTCTTTAAATCTACCTAAAAGTAAACCTAATCTGGTCTAAAACAGTTTTAAGAATAGACCAGAATTAGTTCTGGTAGCATGCCATGTCTGCAAACACATCTGTTATCAAATTGAAGTCTACGTTGACTCTTAGGACCAAAGAAAAGACTGTACACAACCCATTGAAGTCTATGGGAGCCAAATGTTAAATTTTTTTTTCCCCTGTTTTTTTTCTAAGGACAATTAGCAAACTTTTAGTAAAAAAAAAGGGGACATGTGTAATGGGTACTGCCATGCACCAATGCAAAAAAATACATAAACAAATTAAATACACCCATTTGGCAGGGAGCGAATCTTTTAATAAAAATTAAAAGGCAAGCTATGGACTGGTTGGGAGGGGGTGTGGCGAGACATGCTTTTTATTTGTTTTTGGTTTGTTGCTTGGGTTCCCCCTTAAAAATGTATACCAAGTCCTCTAACTAGGATAATGGTCTGGTATGGATTTTAGGGGAGGACTCTACATGGATTTATTTATTTTTTTTACGCATGGGGCCCCCTCTTAAAATTCCATACCAGAACACTATCTAGGATGAGGGTCTGGTACATATTTTGAGGGGATATGAGGGACCTTGCTCTTCTTTTTTTTTGCACGGGGTATCCCTTTAAAATCCAAACCAGACTCCTTACCAGGCATGCAGCCTGGGTGACGAGAAAAGGAGGGGCAGCAAGTGTGGGCCAATCAGGTCAACCTGCAATGCAGATCCACCGTTAATCACAATGAGCCTCAACTCTACGATGACATCAAAGCAACACTTGCAAGGCAACCCTCCCCCATTGCATCCTACCACAAATGACAGCTCCTGGGACAGCTGCTGCTGACAGACATCATTGACCAATATGGTAATGACCATATTTGGTCAAAGACGTTACCTGGGATGCCCACCGGCTTGTTTACAATTTGAAACAAACAGGCGGACAGAAGCTTTATTTAGTGCCAATAGTAATCCTTCCATTTTCAGGAGCCAGAGGTTCAGGCAAGTGGATGAACTAGCCAAACCCGCTCATTTCATTCACCCACAGTTCAGGTGATACTCCTGGTGGACCTGAACCTGCTCGTCCCTAGTATGCAGGTTATTAAAGGTTACCACAGACATTATTTTTTTTAAACCAAACCCAGAGAAAATGTTAATGACTGAGCTGGGATGGCTGTACCCACAGTAGACAGCCAATGTATATCGGGAGGAAGAAAAAGGTCAATAAGATGGGTTTCATTATTTCTGCTGCTATACTGCAATTCTCATCAGATTAAAATCACAGAGTACCAAACAACATCCTTCAAGGTATGAAACAGTGTACTGCATGGCTCAGTACACATTTCTGTTTTCAGTGGGCTGTGATCTGTTCAAACCTGAATGATTCATTCATAGGGAGGTCACGTCTCACTTTCTTCCCTTTTCATGACAGTTAATGCATTTTGCTTTTATTCCTGTTTACGACAGTTGCCCAGTGAGGTGCTAAGCCTGAATTATGCATATTATGTAGGAAAGAGAGAGCTCTAAAGAAGACCCAATACATACACAATCATAAAGAACACAGATACATTTTGGGTGACCCCTTTTAAGAAACCGTTTGGCTTTTCGGTTCTCACAATGCTAAAAATAAATAATGGGTAATATTAGTAACAATAGTATTAATAACCTGACATGAGAAATTTACAGGCAACAGCCAGTTAGTACTAGGAGTGAGTGGTCAGTAACATTAGCCATAACACAGGTATTAAAAGGGACACTAAACTCACGACTTAAATCTTAAAAATGAATTCAAGTACCTTAACTATTAACAAAAATGTACGTTATTTGCGCTGTAGATCCTCAAATCATCTCTGAGTTCATGCTGACACTGTCCTTCCTTCTGGAGGGTGGCTACTTTTGTTCCCCATGGTCCCCGTGTGCGTTGTAAAGTAGCAACTGCTTCAACCTCCTTCCCATGATGGTCTACAATCTCAATACAAATTAGTAAACTAAACATGGGATTGGAGTCTATCACAGGAGTGAGCTTGGAGCGGTGGCTACTTTACAACACACACAGGGACCATCGGAAACAGAAGGTAGGACAGTGTCAGCATGAATTCAGAGATGATTTGAGGATCTACAGAGTGATACACAAATAAGGTCCTATATTGTTAAGGTACATGAATGCATTTTTTAAGATTTAACTCCTAAGTGTCACTTTACACTCTACTTAAATACAAATGCTGCTAATGTCTCTAAGCTTTAATAAAATACAGTAAAGAGAGCTTATTAAACAGACAGCAGTAGCAAACAAAATAAACTTACTTCCCGGATAGCACCTGCATTTTGTCTCCTCTCAAAGTCTTCATCTTCTTCTGGTGGAGGCTTAGCAGGTGGAGGAGGTCGATCCTTCTATGAAACAGGTATATTAGGATTTTAAAAAAAAATAGAACTGCTAAGACAGGGGGTAAATACAGAGAGAGGTATGTAACTATGCTCACCCTTCGTGTTTTTGCTATTTCACGACACAGGGAGTCCCTATCAGAAGACCGTCCACTGCATATGCTATCCAAAGAGTGGCAGGAGGAAGCATTATAGAGTGCTTCATAAGGAGACTCAGTCAGTGAGATGCTGTCTAAGTCTAACCGCAAATCCAGAAGTGCTCTTTGCATTCCACCTAAAAAGAAGGTGGTTTGTAAAATTAGCCAGAAAACAATAAATCCCCTACATTACAAAAGATGAGATGTACAGTATGTTTGCTAAACATAGAACTAAAATAAGTAATGTTTAATGAACTTTTACCTGCTTGTGAATCTATACAAACAGATGTACTAGGTTTGGCTGCTGGTTCCGGTTCTGGATCTTTTGCAGCTTGTCTGACTGCACTGTGGCCTTGATGACATACAGGATAAAAGAAAAAGAACATGAGCCAAAAAGATACATAGCATGTGCACGCAATATTATTCCTCATTTTACACCTGTGCCCACTTCCTCCTAAACTGCCCCAATCTCAGCCTCTCTGCTTAAAGGAGAACTATGGGGCTTTTCCCCATAGTTCTCCTTAGGGTAACAGGAGGACACAAACGAGCGTCCTCCCGTCACCCTAAGCTCAGTATACCGCGAGCTAGAGCTCGCGTTATACTGAGACGCCACAGTATACCGCAAGCTACTGCTCACGGTATACTGAGACGCCGCAGCTGAAGCGGATCCCGACAATTATGTCTGGATCCGGCCAGCTGCGTGAGTGACAGCTGGCTCTGCCTATCTTCGGTCACCAGACTGGACCGGTTGTCTGCTCACAAACGGACTGCTACTTGTTTAGCTCAGACACACCGGTCTGTCTTCGGTGGTCTGTCTGTATAGGTCAGACATGCCCAGATAAGTGTTCTCCACCTATCAGGCTTTAAAGTGACATTAAACCCTCAGATTTTTTAACATAAAACAATACTGCAATGTGCGCCTTACTGTAATCCATGGTTGTTTCCCTTCTCTTTGCTGCTCTTCCTTTTAAATCTGTATCTGTTCTCATGCTGGGCAGAACTTCTGTTTTGCAGCAGACTGCCTTGTCTCAGGAATGGATACACGGTGTCTGTGTATAGATTTGTATGGGCTTGAAACCTGAGCCAGCACTACAGGAAGAGGCCCTGAGCTGAAAAGGGAAGTTCTCCCCAAGCATAAGAAGACATGAGGATTTAAAAGGAAGAGCAGCAAAGAGAAGGGAAACAACCATGGATTACAGTAAGGCACACATTACAGTATTGGTTTATGTTAAAAAATCTGAGGGTTTAATGTCACTTTAAGATGCTCTCACAGGCCATAGGAGAAATTATTGACTAGAAAATACTCTCCTCTGTCAGTTTCTCACCTGTTAAGCACCCTTTCCTTACTGAAACAGGCACTATGTGTACAGTTACATAGTGGCAGACCATCCATCTGTCACAATATATCAAATATTTTCTTACAAATTAACATTTCAGATAAGATACAACCATAGATTAACACATCACAATAGTAAGAGACCAGCCTAAAACGTTTATGTGGTCATTTAAAGAAAGCAGAGGGAATGGGAGTAAGGGGCGGGGGATGAATGACCGCTGTAAATGTAACTTGCAGCTTGAGCTACTAAGCTCTGTAAACCAACTATTTTTTTGGAAAATAAAATCAAAAGACGGAGACCAGAGCTCCTCCTGCAGGCTGAACATGAGAAAACAAAAGTTATATACAATAAGGCATAACTACCTGACTGAAAAAATACCAAAATATTTGTGAATTATTTTAGACGTAAATAATTTACAGAAAATATATTCAAAACCACTACACATTCCATTTACATATATGACTAAATCTACTTCTACAGAGTATCTGCAAAGAACTCCAACAGTTTTAGAGTTAAAGTGATAATAAAGTCAAAAGGATTTTAAGCTATTCCCAAATGCTGATGAAATCACTTAAAAATGAATGCTGTTCTTTGAGGTTTAAGTTTTAGTTTCTTGCAGAATCAGCTGGTCTCCTGAGCACTGGTCCTGACTTCCTGTTTTAGAGGGACTCCCTTCTCAAGCAGAGTGCTTTGCAGTCACCCATGTTTATGCTGGTAACCTGTGTGTGTCTCCACAAACACACAGACAGAGCAAATCAAGCTAATCCCCCCTGGTCTCCTCTCCTCCCTTCTCCAAGCTAGTAGATGAACAGTTGCGGGAGTCTGCACTGTCCTTTATTATCTTTTCCTGGACAGGAAGTTCAGGGGAACTGAGCTGAGATACTTGGAAGCAGCTGTTCAGAAACATGATTATTTTAAGTGTTTGGGCATAGATGTCCTTTGCTGGGCAAAATATATTTGTTTGATCTGGATTCATTATTGAAAAAAGGTTTGAGAGTTTAATACTACTTTCAAGGTACACATCCTCACACGCTCTCACCCTGGATAGAAGATGCTATGTGCTGGCTCTTTTGTGAAGGCAACTCTTGTACAATGTCCAGCGATGTCATTCCTTTGTTATCTGTGATGCTGACATCAATTCCTAGAAAAAGAAAAGCGAGAACACCAAGTAATTTCTCCTTATCACTGTATACCTAATTTTGAGACAACACAAGAAACACAAAACTTTGCCAAGAATATTAAACATTTTTCAACCAATATTTGAGGTCTATGAGAAGAAAATCTGCACCAACTGTGATAAAAAAAAGAGTGCATGTAAATAAAATGCCTGAACATAAAAAGTCTTAAACATTGTCCAAAGCAACACATTTTAGCTTTCCTAGGTAGGTTTGAAAAAGAAAAAGCAGTGACAAAACAGCAGCCAGGGAATTCAGTGTTGAGGTATTATACAAAGCTCTGGGGATTAGAGAGTGTAGTGCTGAATGCAGCAGACAGCAATGGGGTGAAGAACAGTGTGAACAGGTGCAAAAAAGATAGGGTTCTTGGCAGACAGAAGAGTGGGACCTGCAAGAACAGGTTTAGATTTAGAAGGCACATGTAATTTTCAACTACACTAATTCCTGAAGGTAGAATCCTCCAGCAGCACAAGTAAAAATTAATATCTCTGTTTCTAACACACTTGGGAAAGAACACCTGTCAGCAAATGACAGGACTGCCAGTCAGGGGCTGGGAACTGGTTAGGTCTGATCACCCAGATCTAGGTTCTACATACTGAGCACTCACAGGAAGTGTGGCTTAATCCCTAATGAGAACAAACATCTCTATCACTTTAATTGCATTTAATATAATAAGCAATGTGGAAATTATATATATA